TCAGTCCAAAAGAAGTTAAATAAAAAGCGCCCATCCATTAAAAAAAGCGTCTCACACGGCTCCGGGGGGTGAACAAAGGCCTCATGTAGCGAATCGATGCGTTTTTGTAAGAAAAATGTCCAACAGTGGGCCAACAGTGATACACGGAAGCAGCTCCGGGAGCATGACGTATGAGTTCAGTGCTGCGCATGCGCCGGTGAGTCTCGTGAAAACCAACGTTTGTTTACAGGAGCAAAGGAAGCAAAGTTTCCTTACTTTAGCAAAGGAAAACCAGTCTCCTCTTGGCTTATATCGAAATCCTCTGACATTCCTCTTTACAAATCCTCATTTTGTACTTCTAATTAGTGACCGTTGTTTTGTTTTGATCTCTCCACTGCGCTTCCGCGTTCGTCACTTCTGAGCGGCGCATGCACAAAGCCGACCTCCATACGTCATCCGCCCCGAGCTGCTTCCGTGTAGGACTATTGGCGCAAGCTACATTAAAGTGATTATTACGTTTTAAATATGGATATTTTTCTTACAAAAACGCATCGATTCGCTACAGAAGGACTTTGTTAATCCCCCGGAGCCGTGTGAGACACTTTTTTTTTATGGATGGGTGCTTTTTATTTCACTTCTTTTGGACTGATGCATGCAACACCCGCTGACTGCAATGATAGAGCTTGGAATAGCCAGGACAATTTTTAATCTAACTCCGACTGGATTCGTCTGAAAGAAGAAAGTCATATACACCTTAGGCTGAATTTTAATTTTTGGGTGAAATAACCCTTTAAGCCTTTTTCAATTATCGAATATCGGTTTTGTAGTATTGGATCTACCGATATATAGCGCCATCTTGTGGCTGTTTTGAGGAGAGATGAGTCGGCAACAGCGTTTACATGCAAAGTAACTAGATATGCTTTAATTGATATACTGATAGCATACCAGCCAATAATGCAGAAATGAGATGTTCTATAAATTAGTGATATTTAGTTTAAGCTTGGCTTTAAGAAGTAGAGACAAACTGAAGTCATGCAATCCATAAAATCAGGTCCCAAAGACGTCACTTTACATGAGTTAAATAAGACAGACTTAAACAAGTACATGCTGGAAACAAACCAGCTTAATTTATCTCTCTCTGTTGTTTATGCAATATAATTATACTGTAGTAAAGCTGCTGTTTATGAGTCCTGCTCACTCACCGGGTTGATGCTCAGGCATGTTCCAGTATGGTTTTGTTTGCAAGGAGGGAGTGAAATTACAGTATTGATAGTGTAATAAACAAAAATGTGTGTTCAGTTCAGTAATGTTTTTATCATTGTGTCAAAAACGGAAGTAAAACGATAAATAATAGTTCTGTATATCAGTTATCGGTCAAATAAACATGCAAATAATTGGTATTGTATCAGTTCTAAATAAATCAATATCGGTCAGTCGCTAAGTATAATGGAGTGTAGTGTGTTTGCGTGTGTGTGTGTGTGTGTTTGCGTGTGTGTGTGTGTGTGTGTTTGCGTGTGTGTGTTTGTGTGTTTGCGTGCGTGTGTGTGTGCGTGTGTGTGTGTGTGCGTGTGTGTGTGTGTGT